AATGCAACAGGTTGAGGAGCTCAGGCAAAGGACGGAGGAGGTGAAGGATCGCATCAGACAGGCGGGAATCGCAATGGAGCGCGCGTGGTGGGATCATTTGGTTCAGCATGTGAACTCGTCCAGCAGCAGGCCACGCAGTGAAACCCGATCCGTGGGTGCAAGAACCGTGGCGCAGCAAGACCTGCAGCTGAGTACTGTCGTTGTCCTGTTAGCCTTGTTTTAGGCTGTAGGTGCTGCCAGCCAGTCCACAGACGAGGAAGACGACTTGTCTCTCTCCGTGTCGCTCGATGCAGATTTGATGCTGGCAATATCCATCCATTGGTATCTGCTTCATTGCAGTGTGGGAGTTCTTCAAGTGGTGCGTTCAAGGTATCATCTCCCGCCGAGAGGCAGGGACAGCTGTGTCGTCCTTGAGCCCTCGCAAGGCACACAAGTTACAGCGCCTTCAAGATCAAACTGCGCAGGCCGTCCAGGCCGAGATCTCTGCACGTGAGCGAGGAAGCAGCAAGCTCGCAGTCTGTTGGTGCACCTCCCAGACGCCGCCCCTCACAAGTAAGTCGCACTGGGCGTGAGCAGGCAGGTGGAGCTCCAGCGCGTTACTTTGCAACACCTGAAGGGACCTCCTTCGCAACCCCGCCAGGTAGTTCCGACTGACGTGCTACTGCAGGTCCAACGACCGTCAGGGTGACGACACACCTACTTTGACCTACCTGGCCCAGCCTTGTGCGGCAGCACAATGAGACTGCTGAGGCGCGCTGCTTGCATCTCATTGCAGAACCTTTCTTTACTCAGCTGTGCTCAGGCTGAGTTCCTTTCTTCTTTTGGCTGCATAACCCGTGCATGGTTGCGGCTGTATGGAGATGATGATGTGGCAAAAGCTGGGACAACTGTCCTCACTCTGCGAGGGCTGACGGCTCTCAGGGCACCTCGTGAGGATAAGGACATAGCTACGGATGAGCTCACTGAGAGATCCAACCCGTCAGGGTGGAGTGGTTCCTACTCTGTTCTGTGTTGGTGTGGTCGGCAGCACACCGTGGCAATGCTGGCACACTTGAAACTCAACAAACCTGTGCGAGTGTGCGAGCATTGGACAGGCCTTAGTGCGCTGTTGTTTGATCCGTTGCTTCTTAGGCTAAGCACAGCTTGAGCCTTGAGCATGCTGTTAACAACACATGTACCATAGTGGTAGGTGCCGTGTCGAAGTAGCACAGAATTCAAAGACATTCTTAGTTTGCACGTAGAAGAAGTCTCCGCCTTTCGAGTGAGCCATGTCGGGTGCCGGGGAGCATGGGACAAGGGAATTAGCTATTCCACTTGTGTCTACCGCTCAACCTGCTGGTTCGCTCCCGCAATAGCGGTATGAGGAGTCTTGCTACCAGATGTTTTTGCACAAAGGTTCTTACTTCTCCCAGTATGACTCCCTGGGTTATTCTCATTGTTCTTGATGTTCTACGAGCCAGCTCCTTCTTTACCTAGAATTAATAAACCCTAAACTCCCTAAACCCTCTTCGCCCCTTAACTTAAACCCGTACAAGCCTCGAAATCCTTTGTCAGGTTGCTGGCTCCCGGAGGTATGCGCTCCTCGCTGGCGATGTGGGCCATGATGCCCTGGAACCCTTGGAAACTCGGAATTCGACCGTTGAGGTTTCAGAAACCGAATTTACTGGTGACGTGAAGTCAAAGTTCAGATTGCAACACCCTAAGCTCTAAGCCCCAAAACCATCCAAAACCTTAAACCCAGTTTAGGACAACTTCCGCCCTGGACTAGCCAAGCTTCGAGCCTTGAGTTCCGAGCGTCTTGGTTCCTCTGAGCTGTTTTTGTTCACGGTTTTAGTGGTACGGTTGGCAGCGATCGAGCTTCCAGTGTAGGGTACCTGACGTTGCCAGCCCATGTTAATTGTTGCCCTCGTTGGTTTAGTACGTCGGAAATGATACTGCGAAGTGTATCGTACTGCCTTAGTATGTATGACAGTACCGGCAACGATTGTGAGCCTGATATTTGATGGCCGTAGCAATGCTGTTGATGGTCGTGATCGTATTCTGATGACAAAAGCAAGCATTGGAATAGTGATGAGAGAAGAAAATTGGAGCACCGACGGCTCTAGCAAGACAAAACGCACCATGCAACAGCAACATCAACAACCACAGTCGCAAAAATAATGACAAATTTAGAAATACAGACACAACAGCAGTGCCGATAAGAGCAATAGTAGATGTTCATATTCACATGATAACATTATTCTTATTCTTAACATTATCATGATATACTATGTATTTTACCACTGCTAGCAGTAGTAGTGGTAATCCTCGCAAAGGATGATGTTGCCGATCTGCAGCTTCCGACTCATCGCCATGGACCAACGCAGCGCACAGGCGAGCAAAGTGGACACTGGGGAGCCTGGGGGTTTTAAGGTTTAGGGTTCGGGTTTTGGGATTTAGCGGTTTGGGTTTGTGGGTTTAGGGTTCAGGTTTAAGAGGTTGGAGTTTAAGGTTTGGGGTTTATCAGCTCTGCAATATTTAAATTATGGGTTACTGTAAAGGGGTCCTTCGGGGTTCAGGGTCTGCTGCCTGCTTATTTGTTGAACTCTAACAGCAGCTTGTCCATTTCCAACGCGGATTATATGTCCTGTTGCTGCGATAGTTGTAGAGGAGATCTGTTGCTGTATCAGCGCCAACTCACATTTGCCGATGTTTGCACAAGCTGCTTTATACTGCGATACATCGCATTATTCTCGTGGTTCTGCCCAAGTACTTTGACTTCCGTTGCCAGGGTAGTCGATCTTGGTTCTATACTGTTCGCCCATGTTGACAACCTGCCCGTAGGGCCCTACATAGTAGGTACCTGGAGGGTTAGGGTTAAGAGTTGCTTGTATCGAAGGTCCCCTAAGTGGAGCCGGATTCATCCAGTATGCCAGCAGGCAAGCTTGACAACTGCCAGTCTATTTCGTTTCCCAGGCCTATACCAATGATTATGCGTGTCTCATGTGTCAGACATAAGGTTCAAGCTCCATTCCAGCCCTGTCTTAAAAGGTTGGTCCCGGCCGGTCCACAGCCACCATCTCTGCCGGCGGCTTGTCCCAGGTTTGCTGTATATGAAGGTTGTGCAACACCACCCTGGACCCGAAACCCTAAGCCACATGCGCTACACAGAGGCTTCTACACTTCAGGGCCCTGGCGCAACAGCTCAGGAGATGGTTGGCACACTTTTGCAGCCGATCAGCTGGCACTCCTGGATCACCTGGGCATTCAGAAGGCCTTGCTGCTAGGCCCGACATGACATCCCCTAAACCGGGGTTTCCGACAATAGGGGACCCTAATATAGTACCCTGAATAGTAGGATCCCTATTATAAGGACCCCAAATTCCCTAAACCCTAAACCCTGGGTTGTTGTTGCCGCGAACCACGAGCTGCTCCCTTCCTCTCTGGTGCCGTGCGTCTGCGTCTTGAGAAGGATCCAAGCTGAAGTTGTCGGAAGTATCCAGCATGTGATCTACTCCGACTCTATAGCTCTCTATACTGTACCAAAATATACCAGAATCGACCCCGAAGCCGTAGCCAGTCAGGATCTTGCATTGGGCCTTCGTTCCAGCTGCGCCTGCTGAAAGAAGCCGCCTGATCTCGTTTACTCTGATGTCGAGGTCGATGCCTAAACTCAAAACAGAGGAACCCTATGTTCCGAGCGTTGCAGCCTGTTTTGCATGGGAAGGGTTTGCTTTGTAGTGGGGGGTCACAGATGTGCCATGTTGTGTTGTGGAACGGCTTGAAGTTCCTAGGTAGTCTTAGGGAGACCCCTTAAAGGGGACCCTTCTTAACACTACTTGTGGCTCTCTTAAAAGGGACCTTATCGAGAGGGTCTATATCCCCAAGGGTCCCCCTAATCCTAAATCCTTGAAGTTAGCACCACTGGCCCGAACTTGCCACTGAGCTTTTGCTTTGCGGTGGTGTGCAGCTTGAGGATTCATCTGATATACTTGTTGTAGAATGATCATATAGTAACTATAGTATAAAAAATCTTACATGGCTCTAGTAACTTAGTAAACAATGTTAGTAGACATGCTTATCGGGTTATCCTGCAGTTTTGGCCATATACCCAGAGGCTCCAAAACCCCTTAATTAAGGAATATACCTCAAACTATAAGAGGAACCCTATTTAAGGTATAGTCCTTAATTAAGGGGTATTATATATATGATGCCCTAACTATAGTATAACATTACATGGTTATGGTAAACACTATTAGTATATAGATATCTGGTTCTCCTGCAGTTTCTGGCCATCCCAAAGGCTCCATGTACCCATATAGTTATACTTAGGCCTTAAAGGGGTTCCTATATAGGTACTTTAGGGTCTAAGTATATACTATATGGGTACATGGAGCCTTTGGCCATTATAAGAGCGCCTGGTGCCCTTGCGCAGCTCAGGCGCCTGAGCGCTTCGCGGGGGCCGTCTTGCTGCAGCCGATCGGAATGAGCAGCCTGCCTCCGTAGGGTTTAGGGCACAGAGTTTAGGGGTTAGGGTAAAGAGTTTATAGGGTTTAGGGAACAGAGTTTAGGGTTTAGGGTTTAGGGGTATAGGGAACAGAGTTTAGGGCTTTGCAAGTTTAGGGTCTAGGGGTTCAGGGGAATTCTATCAATTGGTCGTGGTCCAGCCGTGGATGCCGTGTTGATGTTGTCCTTGAGGAGGCTGGTCTGCGGAATCGCATTTTAACTTTGTATCATTTTGTTTTCACTCTGTTTTTATTCGCTTTTTCAAGCGAATTCGTGTGGCTTCTTCTGTAGGCCTCTTGGCTTTTGACACCCTTAATGTTATTTTTCATGTTTTATCCTTTCTAAAGCGAATCGTCTGGCTTTCTCGTTCTTGGGCTGGCCTGCAGGACAAGCCTGTCATCCGAAGAAAAAGACTATTTGTCTTGTCTGCAGGAGTTAAATCCTTCTTTTGAATCCTTGCATTCCTTATTGCAATCCGGAGCTTCAGCACGGTGCGGGATTTGCGGCTGACCACACACAAATCTTCAGGGGTGTGCGAGATTCTGGTTGCAGCAATGGAGGCGAGACCTCAGAATGAAGGTTTAGGGTTTTGGGGGTTTAGGGTTCAGGGTTTAGTTTAGGATGTCTAAAGCAGGCCGCCGCGATGAGAACCGGAAGTAGTAGCCTGCTGCATTTTCCCACGCGACCGCCGTGTCCAGAAACCGCACTTCCCCGCAGGCCCACCATCCACCCACCAACCGCACCCGCCGTTTTTGGGTTGTCCGACTCTTTCACCATCTTTCGCCTATTGCAGGTCATGTTTTGGGACCAGGGCGTTGCCTTTCTTCCAGAAATCCCGGTCCTCACGCAGGTGTTCACACCACAGAGCGGGATGGCTGGAAAGGCATCAACACGGAAGCCACCAGCCATTGGCAACTCGGATTGCATGTCGCTGAACTGCAATTCTCATCGTGTCGTATGAACAGGTAGGCAGGACATATCTTGTCTGCGAAACTCTTTTAGGTACTGCTTCGCTCTCTCTTCATCTCAACTTATGTATATGTTTACAGGCTTGCTGAGTCCCACATAATACGGAATACCGCAGGCTCCAAACAGGGAGATCGTGTGCCCGACCCCTGCGTCAAGCTGGAACTTACACCCAAGGGTCTAGGTTAGGCCTGTCGACTTTGGCACCCAGACAACTTTTCTCAGCTGCACTGCTGCACTAGTTGCCAGCCCCCCCGTGCAAATATGCATCGCCTTTTTTCCATTTCGGCTGCCCATGTGTCTCCATGTTTGGAAAGCCTCAGATCGCGTAGAATCCCATCCCGTGCAGAAGGTTTGGAGACTGGGCAGCTGAGATGGAGAGTGAAAAGAAGGCCGGACCCACCGAGCTGCGCAGCCTCTACGAGGCCTGGACGCGTGCATGTCCTTACAGGGCTCGAGCTCCGGTAGTTGCAAACGTGGCAGCTTAGACAGAGTGTACGAGTAACTCAAGAACTGCAGTCGTCAGTGTCGTCATAGAGAACGATTGCATTGATTCGTGTTTGGTGTCTTCGCGGATGAATGTGCTTATTCCCTACTAGTTGTACTTCGAAAACACAGTCTCACTTCCGCCAGGCAATGTTTGGGTCTGGCAGGGACTTCGTCTTCAGCGTCTCGAAAGAGGATGTGCAGAAGATGCAGACGCCCATGCTGGTGCTGATGGGCGGGGACCCAAGGAAGGTTAAAAGGTGCCAGTAACTTCAGGCCTTTCGGACCGATCAGCTGGGAATCAAAGTGGATTAGATGCAAGAGCCTCGAAATCGAAGCCACGCCCGCCAAGCCCGTGGAACGACTGCAACAGCAAAGCTGCACTGCTTGTCTCTCCCCCGCTCCCTCTCATGATTTCCCTCTCCCTCGAAGGCCTGGACCAGTACCATCCCGCGGAAACTGCCCGGGAGATTGCGCGCTTGGCTCCAGCAGCGGAGCTGGTCGAAAGGTGGAAAGACAGCCCGGAGCTGATCGAAGAGGCATCGCATTTCACTCAGTGCAAGATTCAGCAACAGTCTCAGCAAGCCTCGGATCTGAAGAGAATCGCCGTGGAGTAGTGTAGTTGGAACTGAACGGTTCTCTCAGTTTTAATTCAGAAATGAGAAGAGTTGTCCTAGTGCCCAGAGTGGCCAGCCATAGTAATTTTAAACGCTGCGCGTCGTCCGCCTCGGCCCGGCCGTATGTTGGGAGGAAGACATGATGCCAGGTCTGGGGCTTTTGCTTTCGCAGGATATCGGGGTGCAGCGTC